CCCCCCCTCCCTCACACCGCACATGACTTTCACAAGTTTCTCTGCGGATTCGGGCTCCTCTCAGCAAGCTCACTCCAACCCCATCGTCAAAAAAAAAATAAAAAAATTCCTGGGATGTTTTTTGGCTCGTCTGGTTTTGCCGAACGGACCCCCCCCCATTCATCTGGCCCGGTCCGTCTGGGCCGGACGTCGGCTTAACCCAGGTATTTTACTAGTTTCGTTTTTTTTCTTTTTTTTTTCTTCAGATTTGGCTAAGAATTTCGAGATGGCCCTCAACCAAAAGCTAGTATTGCATGGTAACCATCCGGAAGTCCGGACCGGGTTCCAGACAGTGCGGTGTCTGGTGTCCGGTCCTGATGTCCGGATGGAGGCCCCTGGGGCAAAAATCAAAAAAAAAAAAGGGGGCGGCCCAGGACGTTTATCGGGTCCTGGCCGCCCCTCGAAAAATAACGGGGTGATTTATCAGTGTCGTTTCACCCCACCGGACAGGGCCTAGAGGTCCAGACACAAGACACTGCAGGTTTTTGGGGTGGCGGGTTTCACACAGGCCCGAGCAATTTCGAAACGGCCATTTCGACATGGCGCCCGCCTCTGCTGCCCGTTGGAGAGAGAGAGAGAGAGAGAGAGAGAGAGAGAGAGAGAGAGAGAGAGAGAGCACTGACAGTGCTGCCAGTCTGAAGACTCTGACATTCTGAATGGAACTGCAAAGTTATATATGAAGTTATGTACTTAAATCACTAAATACAAAGTTCAAAGTTAATCATACTTTTTTTTCAAAAAAAAGTTCTCTGTTTCTTTAGTCTTGTGCCTGCTTTGCACTGTTTGCAACTCTGCATGTCCGCTAGTTAAAAGTGCTTGTTGATTTGCTGCAAGACACGTGCTCTGCTCCCTGAACTACAAGGTGCAAAGCAGGTAAGTGCCTGCCAACACCCACGCCCACCCCCCAACCGCTCCCCCCCGCCTCCCCCCGTTTTTTTTTTTTTTTTTTTTTCCCGGACATTTTTGCAACCCCAGTACCGGTCCGGACTGTATGGGTCCGATGATGTGCGGGTGTCCGGTAATGTCCGGATCACCCTACGGTCCGGACCGGTCCAGACAATGGTCCGGAAGCGTCCGGGTGCGGGGTCACCATGTTGTATTGCGACCTATATTTTTTTAATTTTGTTCGAGATGTTTTTGAATTTTCGGGAAAAGTTAGAATTTTCTAAATTAATATATTCGTCAGTTATCCGGTCAACATCTGGAACTTGACATCTGGACCCGGACATCCGGACGGTCTGGATGGCCTCCTGGATGTCCAAAACGTAACAATACTTGTTTTGTTTTCTTTTGTTGCTTTGCTCTTTGGTTTGCTTGTCGTCTGGCAGACCTGTCGGTGGCAAGGAGGTGGTTTGTATAAAAGCTTGAGGTTGGGTGCCCCAGAACAAAACGAGAGGGATGTTCTGCCTCAAGAATTGACTTTCTCGAGGATTGGTCTGTTTGTAAGAGTGAAATGAAGCATATATTTATTCATGCATCTGTTCTCCTGCCAGTGTCTGCAAGAGGGCTCTTAGTGTTGGTGCTAGGAGTCGTGACACACACATGTTATTAGCGTAGGAGGGTATGTTACACCCTGACGGATACGTACATGCCTCTCTGTTCAGAACTCAGTGATGGTCTCTTCTGTGGCCGCTTGAAATTGTGCTGTTGCAGAGGATCATGCGAAGCTCAGTCCGTCCATGTCTTTCATTGGTGGCGCTCTTGCTGGCACATCAGCAACCCTTGGATCGTATCCCTTTGATCTTGTCCGTACGATCCTCGCTTCCCAGGGAGAGCCCAAGGTAAGGTGATGGCAGGATTGTATATTCTCTGCTTACCAATCCTTATGGGGCATGGGTGCAGCACTTTTTGTTGTAACAGTGTAGCTGGTAAGCACTTTTTCTCTTTTTGTATGATGCTGTTTGGTGATGAACGTGCAAGGAAAATCCAATTAAATTGGAGAAAAGAAGGGGGGAAAAGGAGGTAGAAGAGAGGGCAGGATCCACAAGAGCGCCAAACCCCGTTTATTGTTGCATGCGAGAGCGCTGCCATGGAGTTTGAAAGGGAAAGGAAAATGACTGCAAGGCGCATGCATGGCGGCGTGCTCGTCATTTTTTGGGGAACTTTCATTTTTGTAGAGAAAAGTTCAGAAAACTATTTTCATTTTCGCAGAGAAAACTATTTTTGCAGAGAAAACTATGTTCAGAATCTGCGCAGGACTTGTCTAGGGTTGTTGCTTTTGGTCCAGTCTGTGTTTAGGGGTCAAAACTCGCGTCCACAGCCCTACAATGGGCTCTTGAAAGTCCTAGGGTCAAAAGGTTTTGGGTCTAGGCCCTCTAGGGTCAAAGGATCTACAGAAGACCTCAAGGCCGTAGCAGACTTTAGGGAAATCAGTCAGGCCCAACTCGGGCAAAATAGCCCAAGAGTAAAGGATTTCTCAGAACTCAACCACGGCCGCAGATCTCACATGCATCCAGCATCACAGTGCAATTTCCGGGACTCACTTGGTCTAGCCTCACACCGGCCGACAAAAAATCTGGGCCACAGTCGAGAAAACCCATGTGCCCGAGGAGGCAAGATAGTCAACACCAGAAAAGGACGGCCTGCCCCCGGCTACGCATTCATTCTGCCCTCACGCTGCCTGATGCTGGAGTGCTAGTGCTGGAGGAGGCCGTAGTGGTGCACTGGCCAGAAAGGAGTGGGCGCCAGCAGGCATAACTCAAGTACGGGCGCCTGAGCGCCATTGTCTAGTGTAAGGAGTGAGTGAGGATGAGGGTGGTCAGACCTGTGTGGTAAGACTGGTGTTGCTGATGGATGGTGTGACCATGCCTTGGTTCTGGAGAGCGGCGGTTCTGAGAACCAGCCTCCATAGCTGAGGTTCATGTTGGAGGCTGGTGCCACATGAGGAGGAAGACTGCTGCTGGAACGATGACTTCGGTAGTGGGTAGGGAGTTTTTGAGGGAGGCCGGTTCTGGACGGTTTTCATCATTATATTCTGGCAGCAGTTCAGTACCAGTCCCTTCTGTGAATCAGTGGTTTTGAGTCCTGGATGTGGTGATTGGATCATTCTGCTTTCTACTCTGTTTTGAGTTTGTGAAGTCTGGGGAAAATTTGCTGTGGTCTGTCGTCCTTTGTGAGATAGGCTGTTGGTGGGAAATGACTTAATGCTTTGGGAATGCTGTGTACGTGTTACATGCTGCGCCTGCACACGAGGGCCATTTTCCAGGCCCTGCGTCCCTCAGGCTTAAAGCCTGAAAACCAGGGCCTACAGGTCCCGTGACTGTTCAGCCCGAAAGCCTGAAAACAGGGGCCTACAGTCCCTGTGTCGTTTCAGACTAAAAACGGCAATAGCCTTTTTAGCCTGAAACGAAGGGCCATTTTCGGTCGTTCATCAGAACGACCGGCACTGAAACTCAGGCATCGAACCAGGGTTTCGGGAACAGGCTATTCTTAGCCTGTTCCCACGCCAGCCTCAGCAGCTGCTGCAGCGCCAGCCCCTGGCACACTTCGGCATTGGCAAGAGCAGCCTCC